GTTAGCGTTTTCGACCTGGCCATTTCCTTGGGGGTACGCCACCGAGGAGCGATTGTGCTTGATTCCGAAACCCTCCAAGTACTCGGTGAATCTTGGATTTCGGAATTGCGGGCCGTTGTCGGTGATGAGGTTCATGGGAGCTCCAAACCTCGTGATGATGTTTTTCCAAATGAATTTCTTGCATTGTTGCGTGGTAATATTGGCCAACGCTTCGGCTTCAACCCACTTGGTGAAGTAATCGATGGCCACGATTACAAATTTCTTCCTTCCTTGGGCGATTGGGAATGCCCCTATGATATCCACCCCGAATCTAGCGAAAGGGATGACGTTTGATACGGGGTGATAGTAGGTCGCCGGCCTACCGGGGTACTTGTAGAACATTTGGCACGTTCTGCACTTCTGGACGTACCTCTCGCAATCCTGGACAATTGTTGGCCAGTAATACCCCAACAAGATGATGCGCTGGGAAAGAGTGCGGGACATTTGATGCGCCGCGCATACACCTTCATGGACTTCTGCTATGACCCGTTCAGCCTCCCGGTTGGTTAGGCACCTCAGGAGGGGTCCCCCGAATGCCCTCTTGTACAGCTTTCCGTCAAGGACTTGGAACCGGGGTGCCCTGAGCTTAACTTTTCTTTCCCGGTCATCTTGTTCCTGCAAGGTCCCATCCATCAAGTATTCCATCAGATCATACATCCAGTTGTCATCCGCCCCGACCAAGTTTGACCGGTCAGACTGGCTTTCCCCTGTTATGGCGGCTACTTCCAATTCTTCAATGCTGGCTTGATCAAGAATTTCTACCCGGGCAAGTTTTGAAACATGCTCGGGAGCATACTGCGTCAATTTGGAGAGAAGGTCTGCATCTGCATTTTCCGCCCGGGGGATTTGGGCGATCTTGAATTCCTCAAAGCCTTTCAACAAGGCAAGTATTAGGTCCTTGTACTGCGCCATTCGACCTTCTCTAGCTTCCATGTTACCGGTCACTGGCCCGACGATCAAACTAGAGTCAGATTTGATACTGACCCGGCTGTTTTGAGAGCTTGAGCAAGTCTGAGCCCTCCAGCAAGAGCTTCGTATTCTGCTTCATTGTTCGTCAACTTGAAGTTGAAGACGATTGCATGGTAGATCTTGAACCCTTCCGGGGTGGTAAAGACGATCCCACCCCCGTAGCCTTTAGGACCGGACGCCCCGTCTACCGCCATCTCCCACCATTGCTCAGTGGGTTTGTTGACCGGCTCATCTGGAGTTATACCGGTCATCTCTACAAGGAAGTCCGCAAGGGCTTGCCCCTTGATTGCTGACCTTGGCCGGTACTCAATGTTGAATTGAGTTAACATCATCGCCCATTTCACCATCCTCCCGGAGGATGTTGAATTTCGCAAGACTGCACCCAGCGGTTGGTCAGTCAAGACTTCCACCGGGTGGGCTTGGAAGTAGGATGTTAACTTTTTTGCGGAGATGAAAAGCGCGT